ACTTTTATTGACATATCTTCCACCTCAGTCCCCTTTTTATCTTCTCCACCGCTTTTTTATTTGACCCTTAATTCTTTCTGTCAGTTACCCTTTCTGGCCTCTCTCGACCTTCGCGGAACGCAAAAACTGGTAACCGACGTGAGCCTCACACGCCTAGCGACCAAGTGCCCCTTTCTTGAGGAGATTGTTCTCGCCAATATGTCCTCAATTACGAAGGAGGATGGCGTGGTAACCATGCTCCACGGTCTGCCCCGTCTTCGAGTACTAGACTTATGTGGCCTCTCCGTGGTCGGAGACGACACACTGCAGGCGCTGGCATCTAGTTGCCCCCTGCTCGAGGAACTGGATGTCAGTTGCACTTCTGTCACTGAAAAGGGGTAAGAATTATTCCCACCCCACTGATCCGCCACTCTATTACTATAAAAGTTAATAGACCTTCGACCTGTCTAAGTTAACCGATGGCGTCTGGTATGTGGCGAAAATTTCAAATAAATATATTTAACTAAGCCATTCAGAAAACAAAATCGTCGCAACTCTGGCGTGGTTCCAAACTTGCCAGCTTCAGTTCAGTTTTATTAAGAGAAAGATAATCGAACGCTTTTGAAATCCCTGCTGGTGACGCGTTGATAGACGAGCATCGGCACAGGAGGAAAATTCCAAAGAGGTTGTTTACATAATTACAGGTGAAATGTGACCATCCGTCCGCTGGTTGCAAAGAGTAAACATTAACATCTACTCTCTTATGTGAAGTAGTTTAATTACATATAATTGGGTTACGGATTGGCGTGTGGCAGTGAGTTTACTTGACGCGTGTCCAATTTGCTCTTAAATGAACTCACACAGGTGGACAGGTGCCCACAGTACCTGCCCACCCATTTACCGAACGAATCTATGTAGCCATAAGCGCTTACACGAAAACATTTGTAACTTGCGCGCCTGTAATTTACCTCTCTGTCACCTATACATTAATAATGGAATTAGGCTTTGCGTTTTTGTGTCTGCATGCAATTTAGAGATAGAGCAGAGCAAGTAAGGTCGATTAAGTACTTATTTTAATCACCGGGATCAACTACATGTGCTGATGAAATTGCACGGCGTCCTAAAGGCTCTGACTTTGAAGGTTACCGATTGACGTGACAATTCGGTCCCTTTTGAAACGGAAAGTAGACTGCAATGGATTTTTTAAAGGAATTGTCCTTCATCCGCGGTGGCTTCGTCGTCGCCTAGTGTGCGTTAAATTAGTGGCCAGATCGTCTGTGGCACGCCATCGGAAGACTGTAGATGTAGCAAATGTAGAGATGAGTAATGAAAAGGCCCCTTGGGCCTTAAATATACAATTTATTTATACCGGTTTTTTCCTCCAAAACCGGATCGGTAGACATCAAAACCGGATTATTACTTATTGTATATTGGAATTATTTCCTCTATTTATTTAACCTTGTTAGTAAAAAAGCAATCTTTTATAAATATTTCGAATACATAACGTATAATTTTTAATCAAATTAGTCTCGATGGACGTCAAATAGTGAGAAACATTGTCCAAAGAATGTCTCCGAATGTTGAAAATAACTAGAAATGTTATTTTCTCTGACAGGTTGAGAAGCATTCCTTCTCACATTAGATTTAATTTGCGAAAAGACCTCCTCGTAGGGGTTCAGGAAAGGAGAATACCTTGGTAAGAAGTGTATCTCGTGTGGAAACGTGTCGTAAAATTCTTGAATGAAATGGTGGAAACGAACGTTGTCCATAACGATGATGTATTCCTCGTCGTCGTCAAGATTATCTGGAAGGGCTGCCAAAAAAATTCGGAATACATTTCCATCTACGTTACCAAGCACTGCTTCGCACATAATGACATTAAGTGCATTGACAACGAGGATCATAGTTATACCTACTGGAACCCTTGTTCCAGTGATCGCATCTTCTTCTTCTAAACTGCTTCCTCTAACTCGCATATTCTCCTCTGTTGACCATCAATTAATTTATTGTCCTGAGCTTTCGAACTCTTACAGGAGTCCATCTTCAGAGATGAGAAGTAGTAACCAAAAAGAGGGTAATTATAGTAGCCATAGGCCAATCAACTGTCAGAAATCATCAGGTTGTCAAGGGGTTAGAAACAGTTATCAAAAGGGATGGGGGATGAGGGTACTTAGCTGTCAGTGGAGTCGGGGGGCCATTATAGTGGTGTACGCTAATTAGCTGTCAGTGGAGCAGGGGTCATGAACAGCAATTAGTGTGCTGCCTTGTCACCCGTTTGAGTGTCTGGGTAACCCTGCCTCCCCTTCTGGCCAGTTCGTCGTGGGATCCTCTTCGTTCGGTTTGGTCTTGTTTCATCTTTCGCTCTCATAATGGCGCAAGAATTTGTAAGCCGCGGGGAGGTCTAGATGCCTGTTGACGGAGTTGGCATCTAAGTACCATGCCTCTGAGGTGCTCGATGTCAAATGTTTTGACAATGACGAAAGTGTCATCGACATAACGAGCCCAAAACTTCGG